GATGGCATGCTTTCTTATGGGACGGATCGGATAAGAGACACATGTACTTCCAATGTCATATAATTCGAGCTTCATTATTCAAGATCTGGCAGGATATTAAGAGAACTCACTATACTAAAATACCAAAATGGTGGTCTCCGATGGAAGCACTGATATACCCGAACACTCTCGAAATAGGAAAAATGATGAGGTACCAAGACTTACTGAATCATGAAGGCGAACTCATTTCAAGACAGCAACTCCAAAACTCCGGCATAAATATCGATTGGTGGCCCTATACTCAAATACACTCAAGACACATAGCAGACAAAAAGCAATATGGAATCTCGAATAATTTGAACGAATTGGATAAGATTTTACAAGGCCCAGAACAAAAAATGATAACCAAATTATATAACTACTTACTTAGATATAAATTACTGGAAGAAACAGTAAAAGAAAATATGATAAGATGGGCCAGGGACATAGGGCACAACATCCAACTGGCAAACTGGGAGAAATTGTGGAAACAGAACATCAAAATGACAAGAGCCATACCCTACAAAGAAAACCTCATAAAAATGTTTTACAGATGGCACCTAACACCAGCCAGACTAGCCAAAATATATCCAAACACCTCCCCACGCTGTTGGAAGTGCAAAACAAAAAAGGGGACATACTACCATGCCTGGTGGAAATGTACAAAGGCCCAACAATACTGGAAGGACACAAAGGAAATCATTGAAGAAATAATAAACCAACAAGTAGAAAACACTCCAGAATTTTTTTTATTTGGAATGATAACAACACAACACAACAAAGAGACAAAATACCTCATCATACACATTTTGATAGCAGCACGATTACTGTTTGCACAAAATTGGAAATCAGATCAACTCCCAACCAAAGACAAACTAATCTCAAAGATAACAGAATGTGCCGAAATGGATAGACTGACACTAGAACTCCAAGATAAAGAAGAAAGTGAATTCTATCTTGTGTGGCACCAGTGGTATCAATGGCTGGAAAAGAAAATCAGTACAAATATAGATGAAAGAATATAGGGTAGAAAAAATAAAACCGGAAACAACTAAATAAAGAGGAGATGCAAGATTATTTCTAATCTAAAACATCTGAATTGACAATGTATTACGTATATATTAACTTATAAAGCAATATATATTCTGATGATGATCAAAACATATATGTAAAGTATGGTGTGGGTAGGTTGGTGGTGGGAACTCGTTTGTCTTTGTAATGTCTTTGTATTTTTTGTATTGCCTTTATATCTCTGTTTAAAACTCAATAAAAAAATTTTTAAAAAAAAGAAAAAGAAAATGACACAAGCTGGTCATATATTCAAGACCTATGAGTATTTGAGTACTTCTATCCCTGCTAGACAAACAGTAGTTCCAGGTCTACATGGCGCCTCCAAATTTAGAGGTAGGAAAAACCCAAAAACTACCTTCAACCAAGCATAGCACATTTTTAAAAACAAATAAAATACTAAGGCTCTCTTCAAGCTCAGAAGGGGAAAACATTGAAACTTCTAGCCCCATAGACACGTGTGATCCAGCCAGACTCCCTTTCTGGTCTTCATCTATCCAAAAATTGTCAGATGGCCTGAAAAAAAATAGCCTAAAATAATATAATGTTTATTCATCCTTGGGCTTGCTAGTAGGAGTGCCAAAGAATTGACTAACCAGCTGCCAATCTCCATATTATACAAAAAGAAATCCAGAAGCAAACTGCCTTTAATAATATAAAGTAGTCTTAATATCCTTTCTATACACAGCTACTATTCAGCTGAGACTGACATGAGCATCTGCTGCTGATGCAGAATTTAGCTCGCTCACAAACCCGGTCCTGCTTCCATGGCAGCAGTTGTCCTTTTGTGCAGAGAACAGTATTATATTGGACAGACCGTAGTGAGAATTTATGTAACACACTGTTTCTCTAGCAACTCAAGAAACACATACAACCTAGGATGGAGGTAAAACCCTATAATTTCTCAGCAGTCATAGAAAACTAGAATAATCAACTATACTTTGAACAAATGTGGTGATCAAAGGTAAACTATAAAATCTAACCAATGTAAACTGTTCCAGAATGAAAGAATTCAGAGAGATTTCAATACCTTCCCTTCCCAGCAAGCACGTAACTTGCATATATGGGAGGCCCTGGTTAGTATTGCTGAGTGTGGGATGGAGTAAAGAATTGTGAGATTGGCTGGGAAACTGTCACAGAACAGTTAAAGCCGGATCTGGAATTTTCAGTGAAATGGACAAAGTTAATTTTCTTTTGGGATATTGTATCAGATATACTGAAAAAACATAAATTCCAATTCAATATTTCTATTCCAGCTTCAGTTTGGGAAGATTTTATGAATCTGCTTACTACTAACCAGGGCCTCCCATATATGCAAGTTGCTGATGCTCTATCCTTTGAAAACCTTCCTCCCTGGCCTCCAGTGTCAATAAAAGAATTCAAAATCAAATGTATTACTCAACTGCTGAAGTCTAATAAAGCACCTGGAGAAGAAGTTCTACCCCCCAGAATTCTTTAAGACATATATTGATTGGTGGGCCCCATTGTTAGCAGGGTTTTTTCCCCATCTATATAAATAAGTTGCCATTATGATTCCCATATATAAAAAGGGGAAACAAAGCTGACCCCCAAAATTATAGACCAATAAGCCTGATTGGAATTGTGGCTAAAATGCATGCAAAACATATTTTGAGCAAAATAGAAGACTGGGTTAAGAAGTCCCTTAATGGAGTAACAAGCTCGATTTAGACAAGAACATTACACAATAGACAATTGTTTTATTTTACACATAACAAAACAACTAACTAATGGCCAGAAACTGTTTACCACCTTTATAGATTTCAATACAGCTATTGATTCTATAAACAGAAACATTTTGTGAAATTTGCAAATTTAAACTTGTTGATTAAGACCCTCTACTACTCAAACATCCATTTGAAAGTCTGCATTGTGTAAATGCTTTTCTAACTAAGAATATGCCTATCTATAATTGTGTTGGAGAGGTCTGTATTCTAGCCCCAGTGCTTTTTAACCAGTATTAAGTATCTGGGGGTGCAGATAACTAACAATCTGAACTGGTCTCTCCAGACATCATCCTTAGTGAAGTGTGCAAACCAGCATCTGCATTTCCTGCATTGGAGGAAGAGAGCACATCTTTCTCCTTCTGCCCTGGCCACTTTTTACAGAGGTACAATTGAGAGCATTTTAACAAACTGCATCACTGTTTGCCTTCATAGTAGTACTGCCTCAGATAGAAAGTCCATACAGAGAGTGGGAAGGACAGCCAAGAAGATTATAGGAAGCTCACTTCCTGTTATTCAGGATACTGTTTATAAGCACTATGTGCTTAGAGCTCAAAACATTGTTATGGACCCCACAACCACTTCACCAGTGGGTGGGTTGCCCCTGGTTCACACCAGTTCTATAGAACCGGTACTAAAACCGGAGGGAGGCTCCACCCATTGACCCTGATGTCATTCCACATGTGTAGAAGAGCGCGCGCACGAGCGAAATGAGCGCACACGCACGGTCCCACTGAGAACTGGTAGTAAAGATAAGTAGAACCCACCCCTGCACTTCACGGTGTGTTTTGGTTGCTCCCCTCTGAGAGGAGGTTTCGAAGTATTTCTAGCAAGACTACCAGATTCTGTACCAGCTTTGTTCCCTATGCTATCTGTCTGGTAAACTTGCAAGATTCATTTTTCTCGCCATGTACATGTATACATCTGAACTAGACTGTGTTGTTTCTCCGTGTCATATAATATATGTGGATATATGCATAATTTTGTATTTATTTATTTATTTTGTCATGTTTATGTAATGTATATTGGAGGAGGTGACCCTTTGAGAGCTGTATGCAATGAAATTTCATTTTAATGTATGTGTCAGCTTCTGGAATGGCTCAGTGAAATAAGACTCCAAACAACTAAGGTCTTCGGTGTACAGAATTCTTTATCTTGCGCTCCGGCACAATCCGACAATCACCCATGCAAAGTGAAGTATTGTCAGCACTATCGCGCAGTGCTCCCCACCGCCGTTTTAAGCCTCCTGCTTCCATCCCGTGACTCCACCCTGCAGCTCCACCCCATCATGAGTTCCGCTTACATCCCCAGCTAGCCGATATTACAATTCAGAGTTTGTTTGACTCGGCTTGTCAACCACGCCGAGGACTGGTTCCCTGCAGGCGGAAGTCCCAACATCAGCTGTTTGTGGGAGTTTGGGGATGAAACCACAATCAGGTAGTGCATTCCAGGCATTGACCACTCTGTTGCTGAAGTCATATTTTCTGCAATCAAGTTTGGAGTGGTTTACGATATGTTTGTATCTATTGTGTGCTCGTGTAATGTTGTGGTTGAAAATGAAGTTATGTTATGAAGTTATGTTATGGGTCATTTGATGGATCACTTCTACAGACTCCATAAACCACAATTTGAAAGTCATTGATTTATGGATTTCCTAGCTTTTGATTTTTTGTAGTTTTACCTTGGCCCTAGCCAGTAGAAATACTTATATGTCTTCCCACTCCCACCCTCCGCCCCTTCGCTTGTACTGGTGAGAGGAAAATCTTGTACAATATACAGAGCAATAATCAGGTAGGACTTTCCATTCAAGTCAATTTAAATAGCAAGTTATGCTATATTCCAGTCATGAACTAGAAACCTTATCTTCATTCACCTTCCTGAATAACTTTTTCACTTTTCCTGTTTCTGAATACTAATATATCATCGTAGACCAGTCGTGAACTAGGCAATATGTAAAGAGTACATGCAGCTGTTTTTATTACACATAATTAATATTTTATTAAGAAGTGCTGAAGATCAAAAGGATCCGCAGTTGATAACCCAAGCCACACATGAAGTTGGCAAGCTTTCCATCACACTTAAAGTGGCAGCGGCAGCGTAGAATTGTTTTTAGACAAAGGGATGTGTTTCATCTTTAAGCAGTATCAGAATCATACTCATAGAAAAGTGGGCAACTTTTAATTAAAATTTAATACAATTTTAATTCCATTAATTACATACAGAACAGTGGAGCAGATGATTATCCATCCCAAGGCAGATCTCATTTAAATCAGTGACTCATGGCATCTGCTCCCCAATTTTCCCTCCCTATTTGTCTGTCATCAGAACCTGGTTGTAGGTGGTGAATTTGAGGACCATTCCACTGAACTAAAAAGTGGTGTAATGATTACATATCCAGTTTTATCACCTCCATCTTTCTAGCTCGTTAAACCTCCCTCTTGATCTTATTAGATATCCTACAAATGTATTGGTTTTATTCCCTTACGTCTCAGCCAAAATGGCCTTAGCAGATGTTAGAGATTTTGAACAACATACCTTGCTTACTACCTTCAAGTGTAGCATTAACACTATTCAATTTATTCAAGCTATTTTCCTGTGCTGACATGAAAATATTCTCCTAAACTGACCACACACTAAGTCTTCTCGATGGTGACATCTTCTTTCCTTACTAGCCCTGGAACCCAAGTTCCTTGTATTTGCTGGCCATATCATTCCGGAACAGCTCCAAGGCTTTCCTCATTGCCTCTTGACCATCAGCCCCAAATTCTGCAGAATGTTTTTCAGCAAAGACACCAATGATGATTTCAGAAATAAACTATAGAAGAAGAATTGATGGTGGCATAGAGAAATAAGGGCAGGGATAAGAAAAAAGGGTTGGGGGGGGAAGAGACAGAAAGTGAGAGCGTGCTAAAAATGTCAAATAAATGTCAAACATCAAAGCAGCAAAAATGATAGTTTTACATTAACTTTGGTCAGGACAAGAAACGAGAAAATATACCGGTAAATAATATATATTTAACATTTTTCTCTTAACATGTAAGTGTCTCAGACCTAAGGTAAGTCAAAGGTTGGCTCATCCATATCTCTACTGGTGGGACAGAGGTACAAGGTTCTCTAGATATTGCAGCATTACAGCTCTTTTACTCTTGGCTATCAGAGTGAAGGATGTGCTAAACTACAATTCCCAACAGATATGAAAGATGCTGGGAATTGTAGTCAACTGACAACTGAAGAGATGCATATTGTAACCTCATGCATTCTTTGTGGTTGAATGAAATGGTCTCTAAAGAGGTTCGGTAGATTGGAAGGCTTTGCTTCAATGATCAATAGCCATCCATGTTACTGCTATCCAGGGCCACCAGTAAAGGGAAAAGTTATTTCTTTTTCATGGGAAAGAATGAAGAAATATGCATTTCTTTCTACTGCATACCCTGTGATCAAGGGTGATGTTATTGCAGCTTCACAGCCTCCTCTTTGTTGCCAAGAACAGAATATCCTTTCCCCAGGACAATTAATGTACCCTCTTGGTATTATTACATAATTGAATTAATGGACTAATACATGCACTAATAATATTATTACTCTTGAGTTGAGAAGTTGTGACATAATTCATATTTAAGGCAGCATATAGTATCTTGCATTACTATCATAGCTGGCTGGGGAATTCTGGAAATTGAAGTCCACCATTTTCAAGTTGCTAAGATTGAGAAACACTGATGTAAACTGAAGCTTGAAACAATCAACCAGAATAGAGGTGGAAGGGACCTTGGAGGTCTTCTAGTCCAACCCTCTGATCAAGCAGAAGACTCTTTTCCATTCCAGACTGGAATACTGCTATCATGCCCTAGTTAAAACATTTCTTTATTCAGACCTTGGGGTTGAAGTTGAGCTGTAATTTTATTCTAAAGCTGTCCAGGCACAGATCCCTGCCATTCATGAACCATTCTGCTTTATACCTGCTTCTTTGGAACTTCTTGGATATTTGAAAATTTGCAAAGCTAGAAGAAATTTGTTTATTATTTGTACCAGGTAGTCAAACACTTTAAAAATGTTTTTCAAGCAGAATAATAGATTTATATCTTCTTCCTTTCTCTGTAGTGGAAACAATATAAGAAATAGTACTCAGACTTCTGCAACGTTTTTCTCCTTAACTAGAATTGTGATTTATTTCATTCTTGAAGTTAAGTGAGCTTTGTAAAATAAATCATCTGCCTGAGCCATACATTCCTCCTCTCTCTGATCTTTCTTTCTAATCTGGCAGCTAAGAAGTACATGATGAACCTTGTCAAATAAAAATAAAAATAAAGGTTTTCATATTTTATTATCTTTTGGAACAAGTTTCCAAAAGATTGCAAACCTTCCTATTGGGTTTTACATAGCCGTGTATGGGAAAGAAACATAGGAGTAAGTGTTCACTACATTTTAGCAGTTTTATGGTGATTTTAAATGTGCATTTTAGGTTTTACACATATATTAATATTTTATATATTCTATTGAAAAGAAACAAGAAGCTGGGCTTCCAATGTGAGTCATCTCACACTTCTGCGAATTAGCAGAGACAACCACTGTGAAGAACGAAAGGCAGGCAAGTAGACCGGTCCTTTAAATCTCTCCAGAGAGCAAGAGATCAGGAGATAGCTCAAGAGTGCCCTGTATTACAACTCCTCACATAAATCAGCGGTCTCCCACAGGTTTAAGCACCAGGAGCCAAAAGAGATGACAAAGGGATGACATCTTTGTTCTCAGCAGCAGCGACAGAGCCTTTCATAAGGAGGCTAAGCCAACCAAACTCCCTTCCTAATCACATTCAGAAATGTCAGTTTAGCCATTTTATAAATATTGCAGATCTTCAAAATGGAAAATTTGATGCTTGGTAAGTTTTACCTTCTGTGGATTTAAGAAATAATATAGCAAAAAGCCCAAAAAAAACCCTGTTATTAATTTAAGAAAGTTTAAAATGGATTTGAAGACCAGAGAGATTTGGTATTTGGTTATTTTGACTCTAAAAAAACAGTATACAATTGAATAATATATCCATTAGAAACAACTGAAATGGAACTAAATCCATATTAGGAACTAAGGCGTGATGAAGTTTGCAAATGGACATTAAAGGGAATTAAATGATCAAACAGAAAAGAGTTAAAATGGATAGGTTGACTATAATATTGTCTTATCTTAAGGAATTTCAAACATTGATTGAAATAATAATCCAGGTAGTTCTCGATTTACAACAATTTGTTTAGTGACTATTCAAAGTTACAATGTCACTGAAAAAAGTAATTTATAACCAGTTTTCACACTTATAACCTTTGCAGCATTCCCATGGTCATATGATTGACACACGAATGCTTGACAACGGGTTCATATTTATGACGGTTGAGGTGTCCCAGGGTCACATGACCATCTTCGGCAACCTTCTGACAAGCCAAGTCAACCGGGAAGCCAGATTCACTTAACAACCATGTTACTAATTTAACAACTGCAGTGATGCACTTCACAAATGCGGCAAGAAAAGTCGTAAAATGGAACAAAACTCACTTAACAAATTTCTCACTTCGCAACATAAATTCCGGGCTCAAGTGGTCATAAGTCGAGTACTACCTGTAACTAGTGTCTCTAAAAGGATGCAGATTTCAATGGGTAAACTTTTAGAAGATAACGATTAAAACTTTAAAAAAAAAAAAACTTTTACCTGACGTGGAGTTTGAAGCAGTGGTGAAATCTAAAATTTGTTACTACCGGTTCTGTGGGTGTGGCTTGGTGAGGGGGGGGTAGTGTGACTGGGTGGGCGTGGCCAATTTTTTTTTTTTTTACTTTTAAAACCATTTTTTTCTACAACCTCTTTGGCGAAGAGGTTGTAAAAAAATGCTTTCAAAAGGCTCTGACGATCCCAGCTGAGTTGCCTGATTGTTAGAGGCATTTAAAAGAAAAAAAGTCTCTGCCGATCAGGCAACTCAGCTTGGATTGTCAGAGGCATTTAAAAGAAAAAAAGGGTTTTTTTCTTTTAAAAGCCTTTGATGATCCCAGCTGAGCCGCCTGATCATCAGAGGCTTTTTTTTTAACTTTTAAAAGCATTTTTTCGGCCGAAGAGGTTGTGGAAAAAATGCTTTTAAAAGTAAAAAACAAGCCTCTGATGATTGTGCGGCTCAGCTGGGCCTGGGGGGGGCAGGGATTTTTGCAACCGGTTCTCCGAACCACCCGCGTCCATCACTACCGGATCGGGCGATCCGGTCTGAACCAGGAGCATTTCACCCCTGGTTTGAAGGCATGAAGGAAAACAAAATTGAGATTACCAAAATAGGAATACAAAAGACTAATCAAGGACATGGAACATCTCCAGCAAGACATCCCAGACAATGTTTCCTTCTGGGGCTTACAAAGTAAGCTGGTGAAAACTTTGAAGACGCCTTCTAAATGCCAAAGAGTAATGAAAGATCAAGGCCCGTGATGCCTTAGGGATGATTTAAAGGTCAAGATTGTGCCAAGCAGAAAGGAGAAATATAAAGTTGGACTATTTAACCATGGATAAACTATTTTATATATTCACTATTGAACTGCATCTTTCAATTAGTGTCGTCCTATATTTATTTATTCACTTGTTAGATTTAAATCCTGTTTTTTTTCCCCACTAGCAAAAGGCAATCTATTTCTCCCTCCAAAATTGAGCTTCTATCGTTTATAATGGCCTTGAACCCAAGTCCCCTTGATTATAATCCAATACTTAACAGTAATCGTTATGCCATGCTAACTGAACCCTCAATAATGTATATTGAGCTGATTTAGTCAAATGAGACTTGCTTCCCCGTGCAACAAATTAGAACTACTGTTAAACCAGAATGGACATTAGTCTGCTCTTCAGCTACTAGAAACTGCAGCTGTATATCCCTTCCTTTCTCTTTTTTCATTTTTGCTTTTATTAATCAAAGGATAGCAAATTCAATCAAATAAGAGGGGCTGCACTGAGGGATCCTTGGTGCTTTCTGACTTGGTTGTTTTCTTGCAGGCATTGTATTACCCCTACTATGTAACATCATCAGGGTAGTGACTAGCACTGGTAATATTACTCAGTTTGGTTAATGAAACATCTGCAAGAAAACAGACAAGCACAGAGAGAACCAAGAATCCCTCAATTCAATCCTGAGCTACAAATATTCTCCTTTAGGGACTGCATTGTCCAGTTTCTACTTGGGTAATCCATAGTTGGCATTTATTTGGCAATAACTACTAGCACAGTATGATGATTTCTGATGATTTCTCAACAAATTCAATATTAATTTTATCTTCCTAGGGCAAGACTTCATTGTATGGGCAGCCACTACTATGTTAGATGGTGTGGCAGCTGGCTTGATATATTTACTTCTCTTTCTATGGCATTTAGAACATAGAATACGGGACCTTGGAGATGTTCTAGTCCAACTCCCTGTTTTAGCTGGGCTAGCATCAATCGTCAAAAACTCTAACTGCAAATAAGGCCCAGATTCTTTGTCTTAGCAATAAACCTGGACCTTCAACATTTTAGAAAGTAAAGTTCTTTTTGACTCCTATTGACTTTATAGATATGTTCGTATAGTGTTCTTGAATGGCAGTGATGCAGAAACTATTTATCTCTGCCTTCTTCTTGGACTTCCCATTCTAAACTGGGATTTTGTGGAGCTGCTCCATTTAGTAGTTAACTCAGTAGGAGCTTGTTTTGTTTGAGGAGGTCAAAAAGATGCCGTCAGACTGTAATGTCATCACCTTATGAAAAATAAATAATTTTTCCCTTGAAAGAGTATTTTTGTCAACATTATGCTTCTAAATTGCCCTTTTATTATTTCACCAAAACTTCCGATATCCATTCTAAAATTTAGTAAGCAGGCCTACACATGCTCAGAATACAAACCTTTCCTTTTTCTGCTTAATAATTAGCTCTTCGGGTATACATAACTGCAGCACCGTCATCACTATGTACGTACTTACTTCTAAATATTTGACTGGAATTTTATGCTTGTTGGCATGAGTCTGTGCCAGTGGTGCCAGTTCTGCTTCGTGGGACCCCTTCTGTTTCAGAATTTTACCCAAAGCACTGAGGACAGTGGTTCCATGTTTCTTTACTTCTTCCGAGTTCTTCATCTCATCCAGAGTCTTTAAATTTTTGAATTTGACAAAGCGCTCTTGAGTCTCAGGGTGGTTCTGGAACATCCTGTCAATTATATAGAGAAACTCATGAAGAAGCAAGTCAGTGATTCTGAGTCCTCAGTCACCTGTAGCCACCTATATCAGTTAAGCCTACAAGCTCATTTTAGATACTCATATAGACCCTGTTTACATAAGTTTCTTAGGTGGTATAGTAAGTTGATGAATTATGAGTTGCCCTGTCACTGGATCCTTAGAGAGTGGGATTTCTATTTTTAGAAACTCATTCATAGTTATGTGACTCTCCTGCAACCTATCTCACCCCTTGAGTATTAAAAAAAGAAATGCTCACCTTTCATTTCAGACTTCAACAAACATCAAAAAAGAGCAGCTGCGTAGATTCGAAAGGCAATTTCAATAGGATTATGGATCACAACAGAAAGGAAATTTTGCACATAATTTTGATTAAAGCCATAATGTTAGGCGTGCTTGAGACTATCAAACTCAATAGCGGTGGTCATGCTTAAATATGTTAGATTACATAGATACATATTCATAACACTCTGTTGCCACTTGGAAAAAAATGCTCTAGTCAGAGTTTATTGTTTAGGGTATTGAAGTATTGAAGTCTGGAGATCACTCAGATTAGGGAAAAGTGCCCTACATATTGAACCATATTGAATCATGCTAGTAATTTTTCATGGCCTTGTGTATCTATCTTCTATTTTTTCTCTTTCCAGTATTTCTTATTATTAAAATGATACAATGATCTCCTAGGCAGATAGTTAGCTGCATTGTCACTGTAGCTAAGCCATCTTACAAATAATATTTAAATATCTAAATTTCAGATATTAACTTCCTATGGCTCAGTGGATGACCAAAGATCAGGAAAGAGGCGGAAATGAGAAATCAACAAATGGAAAGCAGCTAAGCAAGTTGATAGTCTAATGGAATGTTGATATGGGTCAACTATGTACAACGACATGGCCAAATTTAGAGCTGGTGAAAGATCAGATAAGTTTGATGATTTGGGATACATCCATCAATGGAAAAGACAAACATATTCCATATCCTATTCTATTGCTACTTAAGCCAGACGGTAGAAAATACACAGGCCTGGTATTATCTTCAGTGACCTTTTTTGTACTATTCCTCACTGCTACCAATTTCCTCCAACTGTCCTTGCCATTGCCCAAATATTGCCTATCTGCCCTGCTCCTACTGTTCCAAATTATACAGAAGATGGTGTGTGAAGATGAATCTTCTTTCATGAACCTACTCATGAATCTGACAGTGAGACCAGCTTAGCAGAGGTGTGCCTTGCAAATATTAAAAATCATGGCCATGCACACTCCAAACTGATCACAAAGTGCATCAGTGATCAAGTTTCAAAGTGCAACCGTTTCTTTTCCAAGTCTTCCTCTGTTAGCATTTTGTATGTTTCCTAGGTTCCTTTCATCCCCATCATTTACTACCTTCCTTATTTTTGACCCCCAACATCTATCCAGGTTTCCCGACAGATGGAGAAGATCAGTGGTAGGTTGCTACCGGTTCGCCCGATCCGGGGCGAACCGGTAGTGATGGCGGCAGGAGGCTCTGCCCACCCGCCCAGATGTCTCTCCACATGCACAGAAGCTTCTGCGTGAGCGTAAGCACGCGCGTATCCACGAGCAAACCAGTAGTGGCTGAAATTGAAACCCACTACTGGAGAAGATACAGAACAGAGTTCTAGTGTCTTATTTGGGGAAAAAGAGGAGGTGCGGTTGTTAGCATAATCCTAACATTGTTAACATTTGTTAATTTCTGCTAACAGTATTTTGAAATATATATTTTCCTTTAGAGGGGGCACCCTGATTTTTGTTTCATTGCATTGTACAGAGAATAATCATGTTAACTGGGCATTTCTTACTTATTTGTTAGTTTTCCCATCTTACCTATAATGAGTGATGCACAAATCAGCCAAGCACCATTTGGCAGGAACTCAAAAGAAAAGGCAATATAAGATGTGGCTCTAGAGGCACAAGATGCATAGAACTATGTTAGCATAGTTCTATGCCCACTCAAGGATGGATGGGCAGCACTTTAAATCAGCAAGGAGAAAAAGCACTTACCCTTTCTATTATTATTATTATTAATCATTCACTCAGCTACAGATTAAACTCCTTTGGAAGCCTTTTTTTTTTCCCCAAGGGCTTATCTAATAAAGAAGTCAATGAAAATTGAGGACAACAAAATTAAAATAGTCTCCAGTTTATCAGCAAGTTTGCATCTCTTTCTCTTCTGTAATGTTTAGTTCTGAACCACATGCGAAGCAGATCCTTAAAGCACCACCATGCCAGCTTCTCGGGAATGTTGCTGCTCAGATTTCCATTCCTAATTTCTGCTTACCTGATGATAACTTCCTGTCCGTGCAAAGAGAGATCTGGTTCCACTTTGTCCCAGATGTCCATGACCTTCTGCCATTCTTGCTCGGTGAGCCCCATAATATTACAACAGCAGAAACAATAAAAAGCTTTTTAGCTAAAGAGATACAGACAGCCTGGGGGTTCTTCCTTGAGTGAAGGTTGAACAGAGAGACCTGTTGGTTTAATAAGCTGACTATAGATTGACACCTATCACTTGACAACTCTACATTAGGTCACTCTGGTCAAACTCCCTCTTAGTGGAAAGCTATTTTGAGTCCAGTGCTATTGTGGCAGACCCAGATGAAATAATTGCTGACTCTGGTATCGGACTGGCACAGGTCCTAAGTCCCACAGAAAGGACATTGCCAAGCATCAGTGCCAGGAATTTGGTATTCAGCACCCAAGAACAGAGAAGACGTTCCAATTTTTCATTTTATCTTTGACAGCCAAAAAACACATGGCAAGGGAGATCAGTGATCAATAGCACTATGGAACACATAATAAACTGAATCCCTCCACAATACTCAGCCCCACCATTTTCTGAGCCTGACCTGCCTCTTAAGTAGACCACGGTGGATTAGGGGAAGGAAAATACAGATAATTTTTTAAAAAACATTAGGAGTAGCTGAAAATAGTTCCTTCAGAAGGAAGGAAGGTGACTAGGGAGGGAATGCAATTAGATACTCCCATCTCCCAGGGCTGATAAAATGTGCAGACCCTTTCTCCCGGTTCCCTTAATTAAAATTAAAAATCACATTAATCTTGGACCTCCAGGAGATGTGCAATCTAACCTTCAGAGTGACAGAATCAAGGGGTCCCATCTCATATTAATCAACAGACTCCAATTCAGTTTTATGCTCAGTTATGTCTGATCTTATTCACTTTCAGCCAATGCCCTAGAGCAGGGGTCTCCAACCTTGGCAACTTTAAGACTTGTGGACTTCAACTCCCAGAGTTGAAGTCCACAATTTTAAAGTTGGCAAGGTTGGAGACCCCTGCCCTAGAGTTTAGAAGACACATTAAGCCGAAAAGTTTTCATCTTACCTTTTGTCACATATGTCTTATTAACATGGCTTATCTTATTGCTCAGACTTGGAGAATCTGCTATCTGGGGTTTATAGAAACTGGGATTTAAAACTTACAATAACTGCAGATAGTGGAATCAGTAAACTGAAAATGGCAACTACACCAGATTCAAAACCACAGGATGTTGTTGTGAGTGTTCATTCATGGAGGTGAAGGGTACTTTGCTTTGTGCTTAGCTCACATACATTGTTTTTCATACTAACCCACCAAATCTTACCTCTTTTAAAACAAGACAATGGAAAACCAGTAGACAATTATCCCAAAGCTGTCTGCAGGCGGAATCGGACAACTTGCTGCAGCTGTCTTGCCACTGTCGGCTCAACTCACTGCAGGACAAATCATCACAGGAGAATACCAAATGTAAGGAGAACCTCCTTCTCCTTCTCCTCCTCCTCCTCCTCTCTCCTAGATCCTGCTTATCTCCTCCCAGTCCCACCAACACCCATTGAACTCTGTGGCAGAAATTTCTGTGCATGGAAAAGTGTGTGACTCTCTCCCAAGTGATCTCTTTGTCTGGTCAGGGAAAAGTCCTTCTTCCTCACCCCCCTTTGTTCTCATGATTGCCCACCCACCCCTAGTCTGAGCTGCGGAGGTGGCAGACGAGGCAGAGGAGGTTCCACTCACCTCCAGCATTCTCCCATTATTATTACATATGTAACTAATAAAAGAAATTGTCCCACAGTGAGGTGCCCTGCATTGAGGAGGGGGTGAGGCAAACGGGGCGAGCCAATGGTGGTGAGTTGTCCTAGACCCGCCTTCAGGGTATGATCAAAAAATCAAGATGGCAGCCATAATACTGTGTTTGAAGCTTTGCCCATTTTAATAGGCCACAGTGTTGCCATCTTGACATTTTGACCACTTAGACACCCCTGATACTCCTATGTATTTGGATGTTTCCGAGGTTTTGTGTCTCTAACGCGCTTCTAGAGCCAAAATCTACTTTTATCCCTCTCCCGTTACAGCCTTGTTATTTGTTGGCGTTGTGTACCCTCAAAGAATTGTTTACAATATAACCTCTAGTCAAACCCCCTTGGAGTTGAAAAGCAGACTGTGTACATGATATGCCAGTTCTTTCACTAATCTTTTCAATGTGTACTTGGTATTGGGGTCAACTATTATGGGAATTTGAATAATTGAACTCCACCATTGCAAGAGCGTATTGCCAAAATCTGGTGGCAAACCAACAAATTTTTATGTGCCTTTATTCCCAAGGACTAAAATAAGTGTATCATTTAAAAAAAAAAACTTTAAAATGATAAGTGTATCATTTTAAAAAAAACTTTTTTTGAGGTTTTCACCCTCAAAAAAAAATTGAGGGTGAAAACCTCAATTCCACCCTCCTGAAAGGTTTGTTTTCCAGGAGATGAATTCAAACACCAGCCTCCCCAGTTAATATCATTGTGATATATCCCGTGCAGTGGTAGGTTGGGAGGCAGAGAATAGATGGGGTGGGGCCAGTCAGAATTTTTACTACCGGTTCTCCGAACTACTCAAAATTTCTGCTACCGGTTCTCCAGAACTGATCAGAACCTGCTGAAACCCACCTCTGATCCCGTGCAACCCTACCTCATAAAGAAGACAAAAACGTGCTGTCTGGTAACACAAGAATGCATCAACTATTATTTTAGTGCTGCTACACCCAGCTTTGGATCTCTTGTACATAAGCAATGCCATCTAGTGGTTGTAAAGGAAAAGAACAGCAAATGAAGCTTTATCATGTTCATTGCAAAATTATTCAGGAATAATTTATGACTCTATTATAATGTTGTGCCATGTAATGTGATGAAAGGAGATGGATCTTTTTTTCATCTGCTTCTATGGGCTAAGAAGGGCAAAGTTGTCTCAATTTTCAGAAAGTCAACAAGAAGAAGGTGGCAGGTGGACTAATTAACATTTGATTAACAGGATCGGAATTGCTATCACCTTGAACCTCAATTACCCATGAGCAAACTGTATGCATGTCAAATGAGATGGGGGTGTGGAGACCTTCACCCAGGTTGGTACACACAGGGAGCAATTAAAAGTAAATGGTAGCTATTTTTACTGCTCTGATTTAACCGCATTAAGCCTTCTGAACTTATTCATAAAAGTGATAAGATTTCTGTTATTACAGGGGCAGCCTGCACAAAGGAACTTTGACTTTGGGCTACTGTGACACCTATTTGCATGAATTACCGGTATCCAGTAGTTATTAGGACTGCTGCATATTTTCTATTGTCTGAATTCAGCGCTGAAGTCTACCACCTTTAAAGGGTGCCCTGTCTAGTGCAGGGTTGGGGAAATAGGTAAATAAAATGGATAAGCTTTTCTGAGGTTGACAACAATTTTGCTTCTTTTTCTTAAAAAAATGTTCCTCTTAAAGAGCCCTAGAGGTTCTAAAAGTGGGCTAGAAATAAGCAAATAAGTGTAGCTAAATCCACACTACTTATTACAGAATTCCTACGCATTTTCCTAAGGGGGCTACATACTATATAAATAAAAATAAGCAGAGATTTGTGGCTCAGAGAAGCTGTCCAAACTCCCAAGATTTCTCTACATTAGCCACATTGGCTGGGGCAACTGGGAGCAGTGATGGGTTGCCCCCGGTTCGCACTGGTTCTATAGAACCGGTAGTAAAACCGGTGGGAGGCCCCGCCCACCGACCCCGATGTCACCAAAATGCTTCTGCGCATGCGCAGAAGAGAGCAAGCACATGAGCAAAGCAAGCAAGCAAGCGCAGCCCCATTGCAAACCGGTAGTAAAGGTAAGTAGAACCCACCCCTGATTGGGAGCTGTAGTCCTGCAATCCTTAGGTATTTCTTAACCAATTGGAATTTGAGAGTTCTGTGTTGACAAGGGCAGGGAAGAACAAATGAGATGACATACTGGGCTTGTTTGTTGCTTGAGCAAACCTGGAATCTCTTTACAAACCAGCTTCTATTCCCTGTTTTAATCATTCATCAGAAATTCCAGCCACTCCCAGAGAAGCTTCTCAATGTATTTTAGAGGGTCACCATCTAGGCACGTTAGAAAGGTAAGCATTCAAATTTTGATTGATCCTTTTCATTTTGACAAACTAGATGTCAATAAAGAAATATGGAGTTTATTTTTATTTTCTAAATATAAAATAAGAAAACAGTGCCCAAAATTATCAGGGTTCTGACTCTGAGTGAAGGGAGGGGGTTTAGATTTAAAAAATTAAAACAAGGGAAATAGTCATATAATTCTTTTCTATTGAGAAGTAATTTTTTACAAGCTCTGCAGGGCTGACTCATATATAAATGTATTCCAGATTTTTAACCTACCGTAAGGAACAGAGAAATGGGGGACAATATAAGTGTGTAAGAGTTTGAGTAGCCTGTAAAGCCCTAGTAAACATTATAGTCATTTAATAGTCTTGATCTTAGTAGACTGAAAACAAAACAAAAAAATATATACAGAATCTCTGAACAAAAAATATCATGCATTTATAATCTTAAAATAGTGAGTCGGAAGGGACCTTAAAATATCAATTTTTTGCAAGTACACAAATTTATTTCTTATAACAAATTTTCCACATTTAAGTACCTTCAATGAAATAGAGTCAGCCAGATGTTTAAGTTGGATTTGGCAATTTTATGGACCTGGAATAGACAGATGTTTTTTGATGGTGTTATAGGTATCATCACAGGATGTAAGCTGTTCCAGGTAAAGCTGCCTTTGGCAGTTGACTGCTGCTGATTTTGTCAATGCAAATGGTATTCAAGTGGTGCTCCAGTTGTTTTGGGATTGCATCCAAAGTGCCTATTATTATTGGTATGCCCCTTGTTCTCTTTTTGCCACAGCCATTCTATTTTTATCTGCAGGTCTTTTTATTTTGTGATTTTTATCCAGTTCTTTCTCTTCTATTCTGCTGTCTCCAAGCACTGCCACATCCACCGTCCAAACTTTTTGAACTTTCTTATAGACCCGTGATGGCGAACCAATGGCATGCGTGCCGGAAGTGGCACACAGAGCCATCACTCTGAGAACCCATTACTCTTTTGGGTTCTGGCGCACCAGCCAGCTGGTCTTTACATTTGCAGGAGCATCAGAAACCGGAAGAGCAGCTGCCCGGCGCGCATGTG